TTTTTTTTTTTTTTGGCTAGAGTAAACAGAGAGCTAGATTGTGAGAGCAGAGAACTCTGAATCATTATTTCATCCTTCGTTCGTCATCATTCGAGGGAGACAAGAAGAATTCCGAACTTTACGCCTACTTTTGGTAATTTTCCTTCGTTATCTCTCCAGCAATAAGTAAATAATCGCGCACTTTGGATTCTTGAAGACACGTAGGACAACGTGCCGTGAGACAAACTTTCGTTGGCAACCTGGTGCAGAATTGGCCAATTTCTCTCTCCCTCTCTGCCTCTTTCTGTCTATCGTATCGACGAGCGATATTTTTAGAGGATAACAGTGAAATTGTACAACGACCGAATTATCGCGGCCAGTCGTGACTGTACAACACACACAGTGACTGTAATCTACGGACTGCATTTACCCTGGCCGCAGAAAGTGGCAACAGCTAATAACGTCTGGCGATACGATCGTGAGAAAGCAATTGTCGGCTGCCGCGATAACGCTGATTCCCCGGCGAGAATGTGCTAACTCGAAAGACTCGTGGAGACGATATGCCTGGAAACGAATTGGACACGTTCGTCAAAAGAAAAAAAGCCAAAGAGAAAAAAAGAAAAGAAAAGAAAGAAAAAATGCGATTGCTCGCTCCTCGCTCGCTTAGTGTTTGAAAGAAATGTCCAATGACCGATCGGTAAAGTAGGTGGTTGGATTCCGCGGCAGCCAGGAGACAACGGAACATCCGTTTTTTCCACGCACACACTTACTTCACTTCTGCTCATTTCCGCTGGCGGTAATGCCACTTTTCTACAGACTTTTATCTGGAGACCGGTGCAACGGGCACAGTCGTAAAACACTTATGACACCCGTAGCATAATAATGCCGCCCGATAGCGGCTATCTCGCCGTATAGAAGTAGGCGTACTCGCCATTTTCCTAATTAATGTTTAATGCACCCGATATCTTGCCCTCCTTAACCCGCGATTACCTACCGCTCGCACCTGAACGTATACGTACGTGCACGTATGGTATTGCGTATCAACGCTCCCAGACGTTCCTTTAACCCCGGCGCAATCAGGTTAAAATTTGCGTAATCGTTGTGTTCCACAGATAAACGGAAATTAAAAGATATTAAGCCGGTCGCGCTTTAATCTTAATGGCCTTTCCGAGTTTCCCTCGGATGAGTCACAAACCTGAATCGTCCGAGAACTTATTTCTTTCAACTGTTATTCACGTAGCAATTAACGTTGCGAACGAAACACGAAACGAATCGTCTATCTCCTTGTCTCTCTTCCATTTTTTTCAAGGATCAGATTTCCTCAGATTTTCGTTTCGATACTCTACTTTGGCAAATTTTGCAAATCTCTCCGCACGTCTAGATCGGGGTCGAATGTAAACCAAAATTGGGATAATTGAATAAGAATTTCATTGTTTTAATCATATTCATGTATGAATGTCCGAGCAGATTTTAACCCATATGCTAAGCACGAAGCGAGGAATAAAAATTTTAGACGAGCATCTGGTCTATCTAAAAAGAATCAGCTCAGTCTCTAATCAATATATTGCTTGCAATCAATTCTAAAAGTTGTTTCAACATCCTCATACAAATAATACAGGTTACATTGAACTGCTATAAAAAAAAATATGTCCAGCAGCCTCAACAAATCTAAAAGATCGGAGCACCCATGGTCTAGAGCTTTCGAGCCTCGAAATTTTCGGAAATCCGCGGATTTCAGAAATCTTTCCGAAACTTTCACTTGTTCACTTTGACGATCTCGTCTTACGATTATGTCTTCCGGCGGGAAGCGAAAGAAATCAAGAAATAAAGAAATCGTCAATCTTCTGCTTTCAGTCGCATCAGGAGGAGGACCTGTCGGATCCAGATCTTCAGGACGAGGAGAGCGGCGAAGAGTTGCTTCAACAACCACTTCAGGCTAACACGCACTCCTCGTCGGATAATGCATCCGCGCAGGCTGGTACACCTACTCCGTTGGCACACTTGAACAGCCTGATGACCGTCGCGCACCATCCGCACTTTCTGGCCAAATTGAAAATGGAGGTCAGTAGGGAGAGAAAAATTTTCACTCGTTTCTTTAAAGTCTATTCTCTTTTCTCTTTATTTCTGTTTTTCTTCTTCTCTCGTAGCTCTTTGAATATCGCGAGTCTCCCCTTTGTCGTTTCGACGAAAATAGAGGATTCGTCGAGTTTTAGTTTCGTGTAACTTGGACTCGTTTGGAAAATCTCGAGATTGTCGCCATTCGTTTCGACGGTTTGACGCGTTCGTGGTTTTTTATTCGACTCATCGTTGCTCTCGAATACGGATTGTCCAGTTTCTAGACGCCCAGAAATATTCTTTGTCATAGCGTTTGAAGCTAGCTTTCGATCTGACAAGGCAACACACCAGGGCGGAATC